CGATCAGCATATCCCTCTCGGCGATCGGCATATCCCTCTCGGCGATCGGCATATCCCTCCCGACGATCACCACGAGCCCCTCGACGGCCGTCACGCACAGCCCCACCGGCAGGACGGTGCCGGAAGTCCGACTGCGAAAAGTCCACCTTGATCCGGCTGTCATCGATCACCACATTGTCCATCTTCAGGTACGCCTCCTCGGCCTCCTCCCGACGGGCAAACCGCACGAAGGCATACCCCAGCGACTGGCCGGTCTTCCGGTCGGTGATCACCTCGCACGAGGTCACCCGGCCGAAGCGCCCGAAAATGGTCTCCAGGTCCCCGGACCGCGTCAGCGGATTCAGCCGCGCCACGAAAAGCACCTGCTCATCCGGCGCCGAGTCCGGCTGCCGCAGGTCCCCCAGCAGCGTCAGCGTCGTGGCAAAGGCACTGTCGCGCATCTGCTGCGAGCGCTCCGCCACGCGCGCCGCGTCCACCGCCGCCGGGCGCTCGACCATCTCCAGCTCCGTTTCCGGCAGCAGGCCACGCTTCCATGTGCCCCGCACGCACGCACGCACGCACACACCAGGTCAGTCGCTGTCGCTGTCGCTGTCGCTGTCACGGCCCGCCGCCCGCCCAGGCGCGGCCGACCGGGCCCCACCCGACACCCCACCGCCACCGGAGGGAGCATACCTTCGCGCGCTCGGCCTCCCACTCGGACACCGGCAGCCGGACGCCCGCCAGCCCCGGCGGATCGTCAAACGGATCGTCCACCAGGTGCGCCGCGCGCAGGCGCACATCGTAATACGGCGCGCCGTGCCGGTCCGACTCCACCTGCCCCAGCTTGGCCAGCGTGTCATGGCCCTCGGCCACGATGCCGAACACCGTGTGGCGCCGCAGCAGGGCCGCCACACTCTCCGACTCCGACGCCCGGACCGCCGTGATGAAGAACCGCGACTCATTCCGGTCCGGCCCGGCGTTGGCCATGCACACGTAGCCCACCTGGTCGCCCACCCGGGCCACCGCACGCCGGGCACCGGCCAGCTCGTCCGCGAAAAAGCGCTCCTCCGGCCTGATCAGCCCGGCCGCCGAGCTGGCGAAGCGCGACGCCCGCGCCCCGGCCGCATCGTGCCCGCCAATCGGGTCGCCGGTGGCCAGCACAAAGTCCCGCTGGATCTGATGGAAGGGGCTCCCATCGAAGAAGCCCACCTTCGCCAGCTTCAGGAAGTTCCTGCACGCCGGGGGCCGCCGCCGCGCGTGAGAGTGTCAGTCGCCGTGCGGCCCTGCGGTCGGCCGCCGCCGCCGCCGCCCCTGTGGCCTGCCCCCCCCCCCCCCGCCGTCCCGGCCCGCGAGGCAAACGCACCGGCACGTCCGGGGACAGTCGTCGACAAACAGATCCACGACAATGTCCCCGAGGATGGTCTCCAGGAGGACGCTCATCGGCGTGAAGGGCGCCTGCGTGTGATGGCGCGGGGGGTCCAGCGAAGGAGCCACGAGAGGGAAGGAAGAAGGTGAAAGTAAAGGGCCCGGCTAGACAGCTGCTGGGCACACAGCGGCAACAGGGGTGTGGCGAGAAGGGGATGGGGGAAAGAGGGAAAGGGTGTCTTGCTCTTGCGCCGCCCCTCTCCCCCCACAGGGAGGCGGCGGCCGGTCGATCGGCGCGATCACAAATACCGTCCGAGTGCCAACGGGCGGGGTGCCCGCCGGCGGACGTGACCCCCGAACACCATTCCCGGGGCACGGGGGCGCCTGTGCCACGCTCGCCGCTCCCCCCCCCCGCCGCCCGGGCGCCGAGGCGCGCCGTCCCCGCCTCCCCCGGCACACAGTGCCCCCCCCGGCACACAGTGCCCCCCCCGGCCGCGACGCCCGGCCAGCCGCCCGCCCCGCGGGGTGTGTGTATGCCTCAGGCGCGCGTTGCGTCCCCGGACGCGTGTGCACGCCCGCACCGGGGAGCGGGGAGCGGGGGGGGGGGCGGGGGGGCGGCGGGGCG